CCCTCCCCCCCCGAAAAAGGGGCTTAAATGGGGGAAACCCTAAAAAAAGAAGCCTTAATTTTGGAGACCCCAAAAACCTTAAATTTGGGAGACCCCAAAAAATCCCTTAAATGGGGGAAACCCTAAAAAAAAAACATTAATTTTGGAGACCCCAAAAACCTTAAATTTTGGAGACCCTAAAAAAGGCCATAAATAGGGGAAACCCTAAAAAAAAAAACATTAATTTTGGAGATCCCAAATATCTTAAATTTTGGAGACCCCAAAAAATCCCTTAAATGGGGAAAACCCTAAAAAAAGAAGCCTTAATTTTGGAGACCCCAAATATCTTAAATTTTGGAGACCCCAAAAAATCCCTTAAATGGGGGAAACCCTAAAAAAAAAAAAAGATTAATTTTGGAGACCCCAAATATCTTAAATTTTGGAGACCCCAAAAAATCCCTTAAATGGGGGAAACCCTAAAAACAAAGCCTTAATTTTGGAGACCCCAAAAGCCTTAAATTTGGGAGACCCCAAAAAAGGCCATAAATAGGGGAAACCCTAAAAAAAAACCCATTAATTTTGGAGACCCCAAAAGCCCCCAAATTTGGGAGACCCCAAAAACTCCCTTAAATGGGGGAAACCCTAAAAAAAAAACATTAATTTTGGAGACCCCAAAAGCCTTAAATATGGGAGACCCCAAAAAATCCCTTAAATGGGGGAAACCCTAAAAAAAAAAAGATTAATTTTGGAGACCCCAAAAGCCCCCAAATTTGGGAGACCCCAAAAAATCCCTTAAATGGGGGAAACCCTAAAAAAAAAAAGATTAATTTTGGAGACCCCAAATATCTTAAATTTTGGAGATCCCAAAAAAGCCCATAAATAGGGGAAACCCTAAAAAAAAAAGCTTAATTTTCAAGACCCCAAAAGCCTTAAATTTGGGAGACCCCAAAAACTCCCCTAAGTGGGTGAAACCCTAAAAAAAAACCCTTAATTTTGGAGACCCCCAAAACCTTTCAACCTGAGACCCCCCCAAACACCCCTTAAATTACAGCCCCCCCCCAACCAAAAGAAAAAAACCCTTAAATTCTA